AGCACCGAGGCCATCGACGACCGGGTCGGCGGCCCGCTAAGCCAGCAGAATCTGCGGGGAAAGAGATGGAGGCCGATCAGTCAGCGCCCCCCCCATGCACACACACCGGTGGATCGGGCCCTCCGCCCCTCCCTCTGGCCGTTGCCATGCCGTGTTACGGACGGGTCTTCCAGGCCGGTGGGCGCCGCCGGCCGAGGGTGACTTGCCTCTGCTCGGCTCCCCGGCGCGTCTCCCCTTGTTGCTATGGGAACCTGTCAGCCCGGTCGGAGGCTGCTCCGGGGCCTGCTGCGGCCGAGGGGCCTCAGCCCTCACAGAGGGAAGAGACCGAGAAAGGGTGGTCTTGGTCTCCCGCCACTACAAGCGCCCGACACACAAAACCCCGCTTCTCGCAATATCTCCCCCCTTTTCCAACTAGCAAACTCGGCGGATCTTGCCATCGGCCCCGAAAGAGGCGGTGACGTTTTCACACTCCACAGCCCTGCCGCCACTTTTCATCCCCCCGCCCCCAAAGCCTGCCTTCTCCATTGGCGTCAACAGGCAAAAGTTCAACAAATTGCTTCTGGCAATGAAAGGTTTAGTCATTCACCAGTGAATGCTCATCACTTTAGGCGTTTCTCTCATGAACACCACAGAGAGGACAGGAGTACAGTACGTAGTGTTGCCAGGTAGCTTCCTTCCTTCCCCAAGTTTTGATGCACTGAAGCAGAACAGAGTTACTATTACTTCTAAGGAATCTGGATTGCTTTGCTCCGTCATATCAATATAAAATAATTGGTTGGAATCAGATAGTGTTATAGGTGGACTAAAGTACTTTAGGCTGCAATCTGATATAGGCTTACTTGGGAGTATGCCCAAGTGAACTTGATGGAACTTGTTCCTGAAAAATCACCTATCAACTTATTATGAAGCACTGTTTTCAGTGAACATATAGGAAAAATTGGTCTCACAGCCCAATTTCAATGCTTACCTCAAAAGTTTATTGAGTTTAATGGGACTACTCTCAAGTTAGTACACTTAGTTGCTAGTTGTATGAAGATTATATTTGTAAGTACTCATACATGAATTATTTTCATACTTCCTCTTTCTCCACTTTTTCTTCTTTTCCCCCTCCAAAATCACAAAAGTATTACATGACTCCATGAGACATCATTGTAAATGTTTTCTCATGTTTTTAATCCAGTGTTTTGTTGTTTTGATTTACTAAAGCACTGTCTGGGTGATTTACAACATAATTATGCAAATAACACTTTACCTGCCCCCCCCAGCAAGCTGGGTTCTAATTTTACCATCCTTGAAAGATGGAAAGCTGTCATCCCTGAGCCGTCTACTTGCATCCATTGGGATTGAACTCAGGTTGTGAGCCAAGGCTTGACTGCTATACAGTGGGGTCTTGACTTGAGAACTTAATCCGTATTGGAAGGCGGTTCTCAAGTCAAAAAGTCTGTAGGTCAAGTCTCCATTGACCTACAGTGCATTGAAAACCGATTAATCCCGTAACAGGCCGTTTTTGTTCCATTTTGTTTTTTTTTCTGGTCTGTAAGTCAAATCTCAGTCTGCAAGTCAAACCTAAATTTTGCAGCCAGAGAAGTCTGTAACTCAAAAAGTCTGTAAGTCAAGCTGTCTGTAAGTCAAAGGTCCACTGTACTGCAGTTTTACCATTGTGCCACAGACTCTTTAGTTATTTCATTTTAAATTAATTTTCCTTAAATTAATTAGTTCTTCTTTTAAATGAACATAGCTACTAATATTTATATGAATAATTGTTGAATAACACTATGTGACTTCATCAAATAAGTTATCAATATTTTAGATGTATTATAACAATCGTTGTTCATAGCAATACATAGGGCTTGAAAAATTTCAAAATGTCTCACCAGTCAGTCAAAAATTTCACCAGTCAGCATGACTAGACTATAGCCTTGCAATTTATGTTTAAACTTAAACTAGGCACTTTCTACATAACAATGCATACAAACCCAAAATAAATATACCCAGACTTGGATTGCTTTATTACCTGCATGCCTGTGGGGTCATGAAGCTTGTATTTTGAATGACTTTCTTTTGAATATCACCAGCAAAAATAAAATGGAAAGCAAAAGCGCCCGGCCTCTTAAGGAGCCAAGTCGTTCAGTTGAAATTGGGAGCAGGGAATCTCTGTATTCTCCAGCATCGGACTACTCTACATTCTCCTGCAGAGTTATATATCTATGTGCCGCTCACACTCTCTTCTTGGGATAAGAGGGCTGTTTTTTGCAATGGGGAGGGGGAGGGGAGGACTACATGATCAGAGAGAGAGAGAGAGAGAGAGAGAGAGAGATGGACTGAGGGTAAGCAGGGAGGAAGCTGTGGCTCGTCAACCAGTGTTTTTTCACTTGTCACAGATGAGTGGACAAGTGGATATTTCAAGCCCTAGTAATACAGTTTAAACATTATACATTGCACTATGTTTAGTTATAATCTAACCCTTTTGGACTGATGCCAGGTATATCTAATTTCATGACAGCTATTTAAAAGAAAACAGGGTTTTCATTGAATTAACATCAATGAAAGATTAGAATTAAATATGTATTCTGTTATTTTTATATACTAGTATAGTTCACATAAACTAGCTGGATAACTTCATGGCTTAGGTATCTAGCGCCAGACCCAGAGCCTGGGAGTTCAGTTCCCCATTGTGCCTTCTGCAAGTAGAGCCAGCCTGTGTGGCCTTAGGAAAGCTGCACAGTCCCAAGGAGCCCCCAAAATAAACAGACTACTGTACAGTATTCTTACCAGGAAAACCCTGAAAAGGTTTGCCGTAAGTCAGAACTGACTAGACTGCACATGATGATGATGATGATAGTTCACATATTGATCCCATTCTTATCTGTTCAATCTGTATGCAGAATACTGTATATCATACTAGATGCAGATGAAGGGAAAATTGGAAGAAACATCAATAATTTAAGAAATACAGTTGACACTATCTTCCTGGCAATGACTTTAAATAACTTTGATTGAAAGTGAAAGAAGAAATTGCTAAAGCAGGTATGCAGTCAAACATTAAGACAAAAAAAAAACAGAGTACACAAGGACTACATGACTTAAACGTTGACAATGAAAAAACTGAAACAGTTTTTGCATAAGTTGGGTCAGTCATCAATCCACTGGAGGCTGCAGCCAAGAAATCAGAAGAAAACTGAGACTCAGAAGGGCATCCACAAGGGAATTAGAAAAGGTAATTGTGGTGAATCGCCCCATGTCACACCTGTCCATCATGAGTAGCCCAAGGGCAGGAGCCTATGATAGGACAGGAGGGGCGGAACCAAAAGAACAGTTGAACAGTTAGTTAGACAGTTAGAGGGACAGTTAGAGAAAAGAGATTGTCAGATAGGGAACTGAAGAGAGAGAGAGAGAGAGTTAGGAGACTGAATTGAGAGTGTTAGCACCCAATTCTAGGTTTCAATTCTCCGGCAGGGAATAACAGATAAAGACAGTGCATCCATCAATCAGACTATATGTGAGTCAATTTTTATTAAACATATAGCTGGACCCCGTCTTAAAAGGCAGATCGGGAGCCCCATCATGCATGTGGAACAGCATTTTATAAGATTCTTACACAAAATACAACAAGCACGGCCATCTTTGTTGGCAACTAATCTATCTCTGGGTCCAATTCAAGAGTGCTGGTTTTATCCCTTGAGATTCTGAAGAGCTTGCAGCCATGAAGAAGCATCTCTTGCCATTTCACTAAGGTTATTTCCTGAGGTAAGAAATGTGGCTGTAAAAGAGGCACCATTGTAATGGTGGTGCCCTGCCCTTGGGATGCCAACACCAGAGAAACTGGCCCTGGAACCTATGTTTATGGCCTTCTGGGTGTCATTTGAAGATCACTTTATTCTTCCAAGCATTTTGTTTTGGTTCGCCATATCACTACTATTTTATTTTTCTCTCTTTTTTTTTTAAAATCAAGATTTTTGTGTTGTATTGTTTGTGCTACTGGTTTTATTTTTGTTTCAGTAAGTTCTTTATCGCTGTTTGTGAAAACAACTGTGAGTATTGGGCCTGCGAGTGTAATAACTACATGATTTCACCCTGTCAACTTTATTGTTGAAAGAGCTGTCTAAGGGAGATAAGACTAAAAGGGTGACTGCCTTAAAATCTCTCAGTGATCTTTGTGGTCATATTAAATGTTCCTACTGTTTTATTGCTGTTTTATTGTTTTGTTACTTGAGAGTCATTGTTTTGTGGTTTTTGCACAAAAAAGTGTTATACAGTTGTGTTCAAAATTATTCAGCCCCCAATGCTGTAAAGGGGTTTAGGGACTATAGTGTACATTTGGAATTGTATTCAGAATGAAATCCTACAAGGACGTTTTAAAGAACCAAATGCAACTAAAATAACATCAATTGTTTATGTAATACAGTAGTAAATGTTTCTTTTGTGGTTTCTTCATTGCCACAATTATTCAACCCCTTAAAGACTACCACTCTGAAGAAGAGAGGTTCATTCAGGTGTTTTCGATCAGGTATTGAAAACACCTGTGGATGTCACCGAGCACCAATCAAGCATAATAAGCACCAATTAGGCAGCTTTAAAATGACTGTGATACTCAGCTCCTTCTAGACATTTACTGGTGTGGTTACAAACATGGTGAAGTCAAGAGAATGGTCCAGGAAGACAAGAGAAGAGGTGATTTGTCTTCACAGGAAGGGCAATGGCTATAAGAAGATTGCAAAGAAGTTAAACATACCAAGAGACACCATAGGAAGCATCATTCGCAAATTCAAGGCAAAGGGCACTGTTGAAATGCTACCTGGTCGTGGAAGAAAGAAGATGCTGACTTCGACTGCTGTGCGCTACCTAAAGCGTAGAGTGGTGAAAAGTCCCCGTGTGACTGCTGAGGAACTGAAAAAAGATTTGTCAGATGTGGGTATAGAAGTTTCAGCTCAGACAATAAGGCGCACACTGCGTAATGAAGGTCTCCATGCCAGAACCCCCAGGCGCACCCCCTTGCTGTCTCCCAAGAATAAGAAGAGTCGACTGCAGTATGCCAAAAGTCATGTGGGCAAACCACAAAAGTTGTGGGATAGTGTTCTGTGGACTGATGAAACAAAATTAGAACTGTTTGGGCCCATGGATCAACGCTATGTTTGGAGGAGGAAGAACAAGGCATATGACGAAAAGAACACCTTGCCTACTGTGAAGCATGGCGGAGGGTCAATAATGCTTTGGGGCTGTTTTGCTTCTGCAGGTACAGGGAAGCTTCAGCGTGTACAAGGTACCATGAATTCTCTTCAGTACCAGGAGATATTGGATGAAAATGTGATGCAGTCCGTCACACACCTGAGGCTTGGGAGACGTTGGACCTTTCAACAGGACAATGATCCCAAGCATACCTCCAAGTCCACTAGAGCATGGTTGCAGAGGAAAGGCTGGAACATTTTGGGGTGGCCATCGCAGTCACCAGACTTAAATCCGATTGAGAACCTCTGGTGGGACTTAAAGAAAGCAGTTGCAGTGCGCAAGCCTAAGAATTTGACTGA